GATAATATCACATCATCTCTATCACTAATTTTGATAAATATCACATCATCTTCATCACTAATTTTGATAATATCACATCATCTCTATCACTAATTTTGATAAATATCACATCATCTTTATCACTAATTTTTAATATACAATAATTTAGCTCGAAGTTCAAGAAGTGGTCTACTTGGTTATACATCTGATACAAGTGGTAATGTTTTTCTTCAAAACAAGCTGCTTATTAATTTCAAACTTTTCCAATGAATTGATAATTATATATTTTTGATTTTAATTAATTGAATTCATTTTATCATTACTTACCGTAAATGAAAAGATAACAAGAGGAAATATGAATAATTGATATTAGTATGAAAAATATTGATGATTAATTTTAATTTAAAATAATAATAAATATGTAAATTAAATAATTTATGCAAAAAAAACAAAAAGTTAATTTTTAAATTTTATTAATTTAATTAAATGTAATGTTTGTTGTTATAGTTTATTATTGTTCTATTGATCAAATTAATGATGGAATATTACAATGGAATAGATTTCGACCAGATCGAGAAACATCATTTAGAAGACGGTTAGCTAATTTTTTTTTTTTTTTAGTCATATATTTAATTAGATAATATTAAATATTAATTTTTGAAAAATTTTTAAAAAGAATTAATGAAAATTTATTTATTTTTCATGAAAAATTCAAAATTTTCTCGTTATAATTTATTTATTTTATTTCTAATTATTAAAATTTAAATAAATGAAAAATTTTTAGTGAAGCATATTTTTCCATTTGTTATACTATGGATGATGAACATTTAATAGTTGGTAGAGCTGGTGGCCGTGTTAGTATTATGGGTACAGATGAACCTACTCATTACTCAGTACAATTTTTTTTTTTCATTTAAATTTCCTTATCATTCATTGATAAGGTTGTCTGTTATCATTTATATATATATATATTTTATTGCCTTATTAAAATTATTCTTTTAATTTTAACATTTTGTAATGTAATTTTTGATTACTAATAATAAATGAAAGAAAAAGAAAAAAGTGATGAAAATAATTACAGGTGCAATTAATCCAGTAATTAATTTAATTTTTTATCATTTACAGTTTGATGCACATGAAAATGATGTTAAAGCAATTTATTGCTCTAAAGTTAATCCAAATCTTTTTTATACCGGTTGTAGTGATGGTTTATGCAAGGTAAGTAAGTTAATTTCAATCAAATAATTAATTGCTAAAAAAAAAATTTATAGTATAAAATTTAACAAAATTAACATTGTATAAATGTGATAATCAAAAAATGGAATGATAATTTTTGGAATGTTAACAATTGTGATAATTATATTTGTATGAATAAGTTAAGTGAAAAAAAAAGAAATTATTTGCATAATTATATCATTTTGTTAATTATTAATAATGATAATTATTATTAGCAAATGTAAAATTTTATTTAGATGTGGGATAATCGTATGCTAAATAATCCCATTTTACTAGCAATATCTTCTAGAAATAATAATTATCCTATTATGCATATTGATGGTGATAGCTATGATAGATATATTGTGACAACTTCTGGTGGAGTAAAATTTAATATTTGGGATGTACGACGATTTTCTGAAGTATTATTTAAAATTTATTATTTAATAGAAAATCATTTCCTTATTGTAAATATTGTAAAATATAAGTGAGAAATGAAATTTAGAATAAATCGATACCTTATATAATTTCAAGTGACAAAATTAAAAATTAAATTAATGTGATCAAAATTTAAAACTAGAAAATAGAAAAAAGCAAACATTGAAATTTAGAAAAAAAGTTGAAATCTTAAAAAAAAACAGAAATTGAAATTTATAAATGATTAAAATTATGCAATTATAATTTAGCAATAATCTATTTACTGATAAAATTATCTGTAACATTTTGATTGATATCCGATCAGATAATTTATCATTTTTTCCTAATCCATTTCTATATCTCATAGAGAATAATTCATTTCTAGAATATTTCATTTGATATGCAACAACAACAGCAAGAAATAAATATATCAGATGAAATTGGACGTTTTGATAGAGGTTATTTATTATATGTAAAATTTATTTTATGCCAATAAATAATTTTATTTTTAATTTTGTTGAAGAAATTTAATTTTAATTTAATTTTGTTAGATAAATTTAATTTTAATTTAATATTGTTAGATAAATTTTAACATTGGCTTTTAATTTTCTTTTAATTTTTGATGGAATGTTTTTTGTTTTATTTTTTTTCAAATATTATTATTGAACTGTTGACATATATGTTTTAAAGTAAATAATATTTTATTATTAATAGCAATGACAGTTAAAAAACAAAGTTTATCAGCAATTTTTTGGCAAGTGAAATTTTCACCACGTCGAACTGGACACCGTTATATTTATTGTGGTAGTAATATTGGATGTATTAGTAGTAAGTTTCTTCTCTTTTTTTTTACTAGTAAGTAGTCAATTGTAGTTTACTACTCATTTATTATTATTACTATTACAATTGTTACTATTATTATTACTTACTATTATTATGGTTGTTACTATTATTATTATTTATTGTTATTGTAATAATAATAATTATTATTGGTCGCTATTGCTATTATTATTATTATTATTATTATTATTATCATTATTATTACTATCATTGTTATTATTATTATTATTATTATTATTATTATTATTATTATTATTATTATTATTATTATTATTATTATTATTATTATTATTATTATTATTATTATTATTATTATTATTATTATTATTATTATTATTATTATTATTATTATTATTATTATTATTTATTATTATTATTATCATTATTATTATTATTATTATTATTATTATTATTATTATCATCATCATCATTATTATCATTATTACATTATAACTACTATTATCACTAAACAAA